AGTCTTGTTCGGGGAGGTTGACCAACCCGATCCCGTTCATACGGGTTCTACGGGCATTTTTTGGCCGAGCCTACGGACTCGGAAAACCCACGTAAAACTCAGCCTTGTGCCACATCTTTCCCTCGTTGGGGGGGGCATGTAAATATTAAATCGAGTCTAGCCGATAGTAGTTCCCTCCAAACCAGACTGACTTCCAAATCTTGTATTGTTATTTCTTGTAATATACCTTCATTATTTCTACTGTCGTGTTCGTGTTGTTCTTCCTTGGAACTAACCTGGACCATAACAATGTCGGAACTGGGAAATTAGATAATGAAGCTCATCTCGATCTGTTCCAAGGGAATCATAGGTTTGTGGCAGGCTTGCAAAATTAAGTCTTTGGGAAAGATGTCGTAAAGTAGAAAATCATTCAAACCCTACAAGACCATGTAAACGATTTTGAACTCTGTCATTATTAAAAAGCATTGAGCAGCTCCATTACACATATGTCTGCATTACTTCATTTTTAATCTAATCTGTTTCCTGTAAATATAAAGCCTGGCAGAAAGAGCCAGTCTTCCTGTCGCGATAGAACGAGCCGACCATTTTTATGGCATCTGTGGTAATACAATTAATATAAAAATTCCACTTAAGGTTTGGAGAGAACTTGTGACATGAGGCGTTCAACGCATGAAGCCTCACAGAAAATAGGAAATTCATTGTAACTAGAGAAAACCCAAGATCTGGGTCGGTGATGACTAAACAAAATTAATTTCTTTTTTGAGATAATGAAAACAGTGATAATAGTAATTGGAACCCTGATTTTATGAAAACAGTGAGAAATCAATCTGTCCTACTGAAGTTTTGCTTTTTCAAAACATGTCAAAGAACTATAGAGCACTAGGGTCTCCAACTGAAACGAAGAATTTTGTAGATATATAGTTTGCAGATCATAAAATCTATTATTGGTAATTTTGCTATACAAATGTATTTTTATATTTTTTAGTGTTGCTTTGATTGTCATTTTGCTATAAAAATATATTGTTGGTCATTTTATTCTAAAATGTACAGTAGGTTTTTGTCTGAGTGTTCATTATTATCCTATAGCTAGGACCCTGACAAGTGTTACCACCCCGGGCCAGAGTGAACCTTGGAAAAACAGCAGTTAAAATGTGGGTCCACGCTACTCAAAACCACCAATCTCTCGATCACAGGCCCTGCTGCCTGATGTAGTTTATCGTCATACCTAAGACGCTCACGGACAGAACGGAATAGCTGAAAGTAAAGGGAATGACAAACATCATTTATTCTCCGAGAGATATTTATGCCGCTACGTCATACACAGAATTATATATGCATACATACACATGTGCCCCACGCGGAGAAACTATAAGATATATGCAGAATGAAGGGAGAACGAAAAGATAGGATCTTGCGTATAATATGAGGATTCTTCTGTGTTTCTGGAGAAGCCATATATTCCCAAACGGACAGAAGCTACATAGAAGAGTAATTTATGAATTATTTTTATATTTAAAAAATAAATCTTATTTTCTTTATTTTTTTTTATAAAGGGCTAGAGACACCAAGCAATATAATGTATTAAAAATGAATGCTTATTTCAGGAGAATTCTTTAATATATTCTGATTTAGAGTTTCAGGTCTTATCTTTCCTAACCAAAATTTAAAGTGTGCTGCAGACTCTTAGTTATTCGACTAGAGCGCTCTGAAGTGAATATGGTCAAGAAACAAAGGTGTAATGTTGACGGTGCATTTAGATCTTACGGTTGGATCTTGCATGAATCTAAAGGAAACATTCCGTGCGTGCCAGAGACAAATTAATTCTTGTGTCTACTGATCTTTCTTTTTTTTTTATCATGGTAGACCAGCAAAAGATCCGTTAGGGTGAACTGACTTTGTTCCCCGACATCAATGAACTGGCCAAATAAATGTCTATATGATTTAATTGAAATCGTTTCCAAAAATCTTAACGGGTGTTCTATGCCATAACACGAACAAAACATGTCGTGCTGCTTATATCATAAAAAAGCAACAGCTTCGTCTGTCGAGAAATGAGTCTTTCAATTTCATTCTGTTATAACTTTACGATTATGCTTAACATTAGAAACAATGTCAGGTTTATAAAAATTTCATATTTATTGGCAAAACTAGACAATTCTGCTAAATACTTACGATAACTTATACATCTTTCAATTTTCTAATGTCCGTAATTTACTAAATTGTTACTTCTTCAAATGTTATAAACAGAATTCTGTTCTGGTCACTTTGTTGTTTGTCTAACTATTTTTTGTAATTTGTATCTTTTACAAAAACGATGAAGGTACCTCTAACATGTTTAAAGTGAATTCATCGCATCCCATCTGTTTCTTATTGCCATGGCTTGCCAGTAACTTCAAGTAATTTATTTCAAATTTGAAACCTCCTGATGTAAGAAAACAGGATATATAAAAAAGGAATAGCCCATAAAACGAGATACGAAAAACTCTAAGTATATATCGTGTGTAAAAGCGAAATTGTCTAAATCGTGTAAGAGCAAAATTGTCCAATTGTTAGATTAATATGTCAATTGTTGCATCTTAGGAATGATTAAATATATCTTACTGTAATTATCCGAGGTTTTTATAACACAATTGGACTTTACTTTGAGCAATAAGAAAGTGTAATTACTCTCCAAGTTTAACAGAAGAATCGTGATGAAATTGATCATAGCCGAAAATGACATGTTCATCATTAGTTAATCACAACTATGGATCGGATGAAGAATTGAAATTAAGTTCAAGTATATATATATATATATATATATATATATATATATATATTATATTATTATTATTATTATTATTATTATTATTATTATTATTCAGGATCATTTTCCAACCTATTCAAGATTATCTTAGCCCTCTCTAACCCTCTAAATGTCTGTCGTGGAGTAACAAGCTACCTCACAGATTTCACGTAGTGTTTCATTTTCAAATCCTTTTCACTGTTATAGCTGAAACTCCTCTATCATGTGTCAAAGTCTTATGGATTGAGTTGGGTCATTTTTAATAGATCTCTAAGTTGAAATGATCTCTCTTCTAGTGTTGAACGTGTTGATCGCGGTTTCGTCTCTACCATTCGCTCTTTTTAAAACTTATTCACCATTCTCTTGACGGTTCTTGAATGTACTTTGAAAATGGAAGTTGGTACCATTACTAAAGGTCTGAATTATATATTTCCTCTTACTATTGCTCAGTTGAGAAGACAATGGAACTAACGCAAAACAGTTTGAACCTGTAATAGTTATAGGTAAATATCTCAAATGGTTTTTAGTGATTCTCACGACAAATGATGTCAAAATGGCTAAATGCATTATCTGAAAACTGGAAAAAAAAGATAATCAATTAGCTTAGTGTTTTTAAATAATAAACATTTTTGGGAATGGATAATTATGCTGTTACACGTTTTGAACAATTTGTCTGTTACACCTGGTGTGTATATATATATATATATATATATATATATATATATATATATATATATCCCTGAATATAATTTTTTAAAATTCTTTTTCTGTTAACTTTACCGCTGATTAAACTACCCTGCCTTCAACGCTCTTTTAAAAAATTGAACGTCATATTTTTCTACAATCACGATACATTTGTCGCTTACTATTTTCCGCAATTGTCAACGAAGTCTTGTCTATGTTCTGGTTTATCATGGCATGAAAATATAACTCTCCCACTTCCACGCTCCGAGATTACTTTTCTATTTAGCGTAGAACTGACATTTTACTGTTTAATCATAAACCTTCCCAGAAGTTTAATTTTAATTCTGAGCTTTAACTTTCAGAAAATGAGGTACAAATTTGTTTTTAAATTTCCTTAAAAATCATTTAATCTCTAGTTACTGACCATCGCCTGAATAACTGAAATATGGAATCTTTTGTGTAGCGATTTCAACATGTTTTATTATAAACTTTCATAATGATATATATATATATATATATATATATATATATATATATATATACAGAGAGAGAGAGAGAGTGAGTGAGAGGGAGTGAGTGGGAGTGGGTATTTAGTGCTTTATGCTTCAAATTTAAACTCATAAATTAGATAAACACTTAAATATCAATTCTTGAATGGCAATGCTAATTTCTCTCTTTAATTCTCAACTGTTTGGAATTCTGAATTTTATTTGTTGCAAGATCAAACAAGATCCACGCGGAAGAAGATCTAGTTAAGTGAAGACCTAACAATAGAAACTGGACCAATTCCAGGATATGTTTAATCGTCGGATCAATTTAACATAAAAATTCAGGACGTGGAAGTAGTAAACATTAAACATTTAAAATACTTCGGCGTAGATATTAGTTCTAATAAATTTAGTATAGACGATAAAGAAATTGAACAAATAATAGGCGATGCTCGGTTAGTTTCAATCATCAAAGAAAATCGTGACCAAACGAAAATATTAACATAAAAGTCGTGTAATATTCTTAAAAAAAAAACTCATCAAGCTAAAGTAAGTTTATTTATAATTGAATAAATATAAAACAAACGACAAGATGTATTTATTAACAAAAGGAATTTCATGTGTAGACAATTGTAACGAAAGAAAAAAAATTAAAACAGATTATAAGAAGGATGTGCTGTTTAAATGTGTAATAGCGTGTGTGTTAGTCACGTGTGTCTCTATGCGTGTGTGAAAGAGTACAAAAATCAAAGGAGAGAACGCGACTTGTCGGCAGCGTTCCTATCTACGTGCGCCGACATCTTAAAGTCAGTTACAAAGAAAATGAGTGAGTGATAATTTGAATGCCTATTTATAGGCTTAAAGAGTGCGTCCCCATCACACACCAAGGCGTTTTGGCAAAGCCAAGTTGGATAATCCACAGGGTATTCCAATACAACGGCCTTTGTATCAAGCTAAAAACTAAGTTTAATTATAATTGAACTATAGATAGCTAACTTTATCTCCCTCCTCCTTCTCAGAACTGTTACATACCAGTAGACAAAATGTCTGAAAGTTTAGAAATCTCTCTCTTCTCTCTCCCTTCTCTCTCTCTTCTCTCTCTCTCTCTCTCTCTCTCTCTCTCCACCATTTATCTGTGAACATTATTGTGTTTGCTGACTTTAATGTAACATAGCTTAATGATTCTAATGTTACTGGTGTTTCCAGAATTCAAACTTTCAATTGTTCAACTGATTAGTCTATCAGTCAAATAGAATATTTTCCTACTCATTTCCCTAATAATTCTGATCAACAAAATTCTTTACTTTAAGATTGTTTGTTAGCTCATCTCCTGGCTCTTGTCGAGTATCGCAACTCTGTCCTTTTGGCAATTCCAATCACGTTATAGCATCTGTTGATATTTCTTTTGACTCGCCTATTGAGCCATACTGTTTGAGGCTTATTTCGTGACTTCCTTCGAGTCGCCCATTCGGTTGATATTGAGAATCGTGCCACTGAGGTTTCTTCTTGGATTAAAGCCGGCATCGAATCTTTTGTACCTTATCGGACATAGCAGGTGAAGCCACAATCTTCCCCTTGGTTCACACCTGCCTCTTCAGCCGCTACAGCCCGCATGAATCACTTTTCCCACTGTACCAGCCTGATAGTGTTGATCACAACAGACATATTTGTTCGTAATAATTATAAACGTGTCCTCAAGGAGATTATGTCTTTGCTGACGTAATGAAGCACCGTATAACCTCTAACAAGTTTGATTCTCGTGACTACTGGTGTCTCTATATAGTGTGTTAGATGAAAGTTTCCTATTCCGCCACTCTTCAATCAGTTGTACGATATACATGTAACGCCATCCATGATTTTTGCTATCATCTCTAAACGATCATCCAAAAAGAATGTGGACTTCATGGTATCCCTGCAATAGTCCTTAAGAAATGTGCTCCTGAACTGCCTCCTCCTCTCTGTAAAATGTACAATAAATGCCTTGTTGCGAATCCTCTTCTGTAGTCCCAGTCTTTTGAACTCAGGCGAACTGTCGATTTCTATCAGGCTATTAACATTCTACCTCTTTTTGACAAAGTATCAGAGGCTTTAATTAAACATATCACCTTGCAAGGTCTTCGTTCAGGTACTCAATATGGCCTTTGATTCTCTAGGTCAAGTAAGACCTCTGATCAAAAGATTGAGAGTTTTGAGGAACGTAGAACCATCTTTCAGTTGCGGGTGTTCCCAGGTCCACTCTGACCTGGGGTGGTAGCACCTGTTAGGGTCTCAACTATAGGCCAATTGTGAAACCAAAAACAAAAATCAACAGTACATTTTTATACACCACGAAAAGAATATAAAAATACATTTTTATAGTAAAATTATCAACAATACATTTTTTTTTATTAAAAAAATACCCAACAATACATTTTTGTAGTGACATTACCAACAAAACATAAAATAAAAATTACCCACAATACATTTCATTATCTACAAAGAATATATCTAAAATATGTTTACCCGGATAGTTTATAAAATTATGAACTAACTATCTGTAGATGAAAGCATAAATTTACGTATAAAATATTACGATTTCGGCAATAAATAACGTATAAAAGTTGATATGCCGTTAGAGAAAATCAACCTGACAACTCACATGAAAGAACTTTCATGGCATTAATCTAAGTCAACTTTTGATGTATTAGCGATTATTGTTGAACGTATATCAAGCTTTAGATAAGAATGAAGTTCGGGCTGTTGCTTTGGATAACCCGAAGGCATTTGACAGGGTTTCGAATACTGTTCTTTTTCTCAAGTTGAAAAGTTATGGTATTTCTGGACGAAGTTTTGAACTGATTCAGTTGTTCTTATCAAATATGAAATATGAAGTTATCTCGAATGGCCACGATTCTAGATCATTTTACATCAATGCAGGGATCCAGAGGGTTCTTTCCTAGGGTGGGGCTCTCCTTCCGGAAAATTCCGGAAGGATTGGCAGAGGAGGAGAGGGTATCTGTTCTCCTCCGGAGGCCTCCTCTCTTCTCTTATGTCCCCCATAGCAGTGCTATGACCGGCTATGACTAGATTAGACATGCTCTGACCCGCTTAGTCAAGCTATGGCCTGCTAAGACCAGCTTAGACAAGCTAAGACCAGCTTATACCAGCGGCCCGAGTGCTTTTCACTCGGGCCCGAGTGAAAACACTCGGGTCCACACGTTAAAAACCGACCTTGTGTCACAACCTGATTCAGTGAGGAGTTAAGGTAAATGCCGGGCTCTATCCTTGGACCTAAGTTGATCGTAATTTTCATCAACTAGCTTCATGATGACATCAGTTCTTAACTAGGTATCTATGTTGATGACACTACTATTCCCTCCTGTCTGAATAGTAACTCTGAGCGGTTCGGTAATATTATCATATTCTGCCGATCTAAAAATTACCTACACTCTGCGGTTAAGTGGGGCAAGGAATGTTTTGCTAATTTTAATGTTTCCATTACGAAAATGCTCTCTATTAAACTTCTGAGAGAATTCTTTCTATCTTACATTGGTATGGCTTGTG